CGCTACGACAGAGCTATTTTTAGATAACATAAGGAAATTGCGCTTAAATGTCACTAGACTTTTTAATTAACTTGTTTCTATGAGATTCTATTTTATTTTTAAAAGTTTATGTATTTAAAATGGATTAAAAATCATAACTATATCCCGAGTTCACATCCCCTGTTGTTTTATATAAGAATATTCGAGAAAGTTTAAGGGAGATCACTCCCGGTTTATTTTGTGTTACAAACAAAATGCAGAGTGAAAAGTGAAAAAAATAAAAACAACTTGGAAATTCACATTGAAACCATGCGGAATTGGTGGACGGCGCGTCCTTGCGGCAGACTGCTCGAGTTCGAATCCTTGTTCGTATCACTAGATCGTCCCTAAGTTCACCCAGCTATAATGGGTACCCAACTTACGTTAAGGAAAGTAAAGCCGGCTGAGCATAGTGCTAAAAAATCTTTCAATTTATATGCCGAGATCACATAAACAGGTGAACTCTACTTCACTGCCCCATGGGCTGTCAGGTTCGAAAAAGGAACTTTATTTAAAAAATTTCACTCAAGGACCCGGAATGGTGAGCGTAGGCTTATGTGAATGAACTATCGCACTGTTCTAAAGTTTAAGTAGAAGAGAACAAAAAATAAATTTGTGTATGATAGCACAATGTATTCCTTAGGATAGAAACAATACAGTAAAGATAAATTAAATTATCTTCTTATAGAAACAATACAGTCAAGATTCATTGCATTAACTTTAGTTAGATAAATTACAGTAAACAGTGAAGATACATTGAATTAAATTTAGTTAGAAACATTGCAGTAAAGATACATTACATTACAATTGCCTTACGTGAATAAGCAATTTTTAATTGAGTTGTGTTACTAAAAACAATTGCGTTCCAAATAAACAAGAAAAATATGCGCAAAAAATGCGGTAAATAGTACTTTTAAATAGGCAATTTTAATTCATTCTTTAAGAATTATTTAAGCGTCAAATTAATTCAAATGTGATGTCAGGCTGCATTGTCGTCGTGTTTTGACACACTTGACAAGTTTCAGGGAAATTGGTTGATTAAAAGTGGTCGAAATGTTGCTTGTTAGTTTCAACTGACGACAGACAAAGCACGACAAAACCAAGACATGGGAGGCAAGTTAAATAAAAGCTTCTAAAAACTGACGGTACCCAGGGTTGAAACTGATGTACACAAAAATTGTGACAGCGCCGTGGATGTTTCCCAAAATGGTACACAGGTTGTTGATGGTGTACAGGTTGAAAACATCAGAGGCCAACCACTGAAAAATCTGGGGGTACATGATCCTGACCCAGCCAATCGTAAAGCCTGGCACGCTTGAGGGGACATACAGCACAGCTAGAAGTAAGATCATCTTCACCAGTCGTTTCTCTTTCCCAGTTAACAAACCGGAGTTTGTGGGAGTGGTGGTATCAGAAGACCGAGTTTTCCCTCCCCGACGAACAGATGATGATTTTCTGAGAGCTTTAGACATGATGACGACACACACAACTGCCGCGATTTGACAAAAGAATGGAATCGTAACCAAGGATACGATGTCATGTATCACCACAAGCTGGTTGTAAAAATCTGTTTCACAAATGAAGTACCTGTTAAATTGTTTTTCTTCGTCGAATTTTATCAGGGTACACATTGACAAAAATAAGGGAACGTTATTGGCAAGAAGGAATGCAAATACGATGACGAATATAGTGTATGTTTGTTTCATGGTGAACATTGTTTTAAACGTGAATGGAAAAGTGACACAAAGACATCGTTCTATAGAGAGATATATCGTTATGATAGAAGACAGGTCAGTGAAGATGAGGCGAGTGAATGCGAAACCTCTTTGTGGGACCTTGTAATCTATGATAGAATCGCTGGGGAAAATCCTGGAGATTCGGCAAACATTGTAAGCTATAGTACAACAGCTCATCAGACAGTCACTTGAAGAGAGGACGAACAGCGTCATAGTCATTGTCGTTTTAAAGCCGATCTTAGCGAACACGACTAGGTTGATGATGTTGGTGGTGATGCCGAATATCGCGAAAAGGGTGGAGCCGACGGTGACGACGTAGATATCTACGATGACGTTGGTGGTGTCCGACACGACGGACTGCCGCTGTGGATCTCCTGTAGGAGGTACGTTGGGCTGGTCTTGATAAGCGCTGGTTGCCCCCATCTCTTAAAAATGTGAGTCTCTGAAACTGGGAAGATTTAATGAAAATGTGAATATTTTAAAAATATTCTCTGAAAATGAGGTTCTCTGAAAATGTGATTCTCTGAACATCTGATTATCTGAAAATGTTGATCTCTTAAAAATAAGAATCTCTAGAAATACAAATCTCCAATTGAAAGTAATTACTAATGTAAAATGATCCTTTTATTGTTGTTTTTTCTAAAGTATATTTTTATTCTGATAATAACTTGTATATTTTATATTATTGACTACTTTACAATTCTAGATTCAGAAAGCAAATTATTTTAAAATTTCGAAATAATAAATACTAAGTAATAAACCTTCTGTTTTCTAAAATTCTCAGTTGTAATTTATTATTATTATCGTAATATTTTTCGATCTATTTAACTTACCCGCATTTCGTTTTAATACAAAGCAGTAATTTTCAACAACATAAATGTAGTGCGTAGTGATTCACCTCAATCGATTTAGACCTAACCCCCCCCCCCCCACCCACCCCACCACCCCCAGGAACAACCCACCTACCTCTTCGCTTCTTGGAATTAAAGTATTCATAAACCGTACACATATGCTGAAATACCCCACTTAGCGCATCCTTAACAAAAAATCAATGACACTTATATACTAGCCTTAGCTCTAAGTTATTACACACGCATCTACATTTTAGTGTTCTATATTTTCATACCACCTCGAGGCAACAAATTATAAAAAAAAAAAAATTGTGACGAAAGTTATTGTAATTTCGAATAATTGCCATGGTAAATAAGCTTTGAAATGGTATTGTGTCTGCGTGTATTCTTATTTTCGAATGTCTAGCTTACACACTTAAAAAAAAATTCAAGCAACAAAGTCATTCCTTTTTTTCTCTTTTTAAAATCATTACGAAATTAGTTGTAGTAGCATCTTAAGAGATAAACAAAGAGAAACACTATTAAGCCGGAAAACTCTTATGAATTTTCCCGCACTAGACTTAGTGTACCATTCCCATTTGTGTTATCTATGAAATTTCGAGAAAGTGTAGTGGAGATCACTCCTGCTTTATTTTTACAAGATTCAAAATATTTCTTTGTATAATTTATTATCCGCATAACTTTGCGAAACAAACGTCAGTGAGGTTATTGACATTGAAATTATTCTTTCTACAAAATAATTTTCTATCAATTTACCACACAAAAATTTGATTTTTGAAAGAAAAGATAATTCTGCCGTTTAAATTAATCCAACATTAGAATGTTCCGTGTAACTATTAAATCTACCCCACTTGTGCCGTTACAAAGGGATCCATCTTACAAATGTTTGTGTTTTTGATCTAAACAGATGTTATTGATACTAATCTCGTAATGATTTTGCTGCTTGTGATACAAGTTAAAATAAATAATCAGAACACTTTGACTTTCGAGAATAATAATACATAGCAGTTACAAGAAAATTGTTCTATTTCAAAGTTTATTCCCTCTGATGTTTATTCAAATTACGAATTAGTTTCGTCGTATTATTTGTAACAGTTTTTGTTTGTTTTAGCCTTCAGGGTATAGAGAAACAAGAACAGTAAAATTTTGCCCTAAGTAAAGTAAATCACCTCATAGATTTTCCTGGTTACAAAGTAGCATAATGGTCTAGCAATTCGCTATGTGGGGTTTTCATCATACAAAGAAAGTGTATGTCGATATAATCGTGATATTGCTAGAGTGTTTAGGTAGTATAATTATTGAAGTGGGGAAGGGGGTCTAACTCGATTATCGTTAATCATTATGTTCAATTTAAAAAAAAATTATTATAGCTTTGTATTGAAATGAAATGGATCTATTTCAAACATTGTTTAGTGAAAACATTGACCGAAGAAAATTATAAGCAAATCGTTGAAGTATCAGTATATTCTGCATACCTACCTAACAAGGCGACATACATTTTAACACATAACAGAAGTAAACAGGAGATTTTATAACAATAACAGAACACAACTAATCACATTTAAGTATGAAAATCCCACGTAAAAAATACATAAAAGAACGGTATGCTCTGTATCCATATTGAGTTTGTGAACTTAAACTTCTCAAACTTTTTTTGTGATACTTTTAGCATCAATGTCTTCAACAATTGTTGGTTGTAAGCATTCATCAATTTTAACCATAAATATTAGAAATTAAAAAGGCAAAACATTTATAATATTAAAACTAGCTGAACAAAAACATTGTAGTTGGTCTCATTTATATTTTTTTCGAAGTAAGAGATATGCAAAAACTAAATGTGTATACGTATAAAAAGATGTGAATTGAAAATGTTTACTCAAATTGTTGGATTTTTTACGTTTATATTTTTTCGAAGACAAAGTTTTTGTGTGTTTGTAATTCAATTTACACATTAACACAGATGTTATTCTTATATTTTATACACATAAAAGCTCTCAAAATAAATAAAAAATATACACATATAAAAATGTTTATCAGTTGTAAATCAATATAACATAAAATAAAACGATAATGTTTAGAAGAAATATTATTAATTATCTAATAATTGTTTTCTTTTACATTATATAAGAAATGCACAACTTCTAGCACCTAATACAAACACTCCTTACGAAGAACACTTGTATTTCGTAAATTATTTAATTTATTTATTTTTAGATTTAAACCCAAGAGAGAATAATAATAGCGAATGTGTAGTGTTGATATGTATTATTTGTTAACATTTGCAGAATAAAGCATACATTTCATAAAAATAAAAACAATTAAATCATAACGTTACTATATAGTGTTTAATTTTTTTTTCAGATATTCACAAATCAGAGACTCACATTTGTAAGAGATGGGGGCAACCAGCGCTTATCAAGACCAGCCCGACGTATCTCCTACAGCAGTACCACAAGGGCAGTCAGTCGTGTCGGACACCACCAACGTCATCGTAGATATATACGTCATCACTGTCAGTTCTACCATGGTCGCCCTTTTCGGCATCATCACCAACATCATCAACTTAGTCGTCTTCGCCAAGATTGGCTTCAAGATATCCATGAATCTGACGCTGTTTGCCCTTTCTTCGAGTGATTGCCTCATGGGATGCTGTACTATAGCTTACAATATTTGCCGAATCTCCAGGATTTTCCCCAGCGATTCTATCATAGATTACAAAGTCCCACAAAGAGGTTTCGCAATCGCTCGATTCATCTTCACTGACTTGTCCTCTATCATAACGATATATCTCTCTATAGAACGATGTCTTTGTATCACTTTTCCATTCACTTTTAAAACAATGTTTACTATGAAACAAACATACATAATATTCACCTTCATCTTTATATTCCTTCTTGCAAAAAACATACCCTTGTTTTGGACCATGTGCACCCAGTTAAAATTTGACGAAGAAAAACATTTAAACAGGTACGTAGTTTGTGAAACAGCTCTTTACTTTGAGCTTGTAAAAGCACATGACATTGTATCATTGGTGACGATTCCATTCGTCTGCCAAATCGCAGCAGGTTTTTGTGTCGTCATCCTGTCAAGAGCTCTCAGAAAATCATCGTCTCTGCGCCTAGCCGTGAAAACATCATCTAAACACACATCAGCGAAGGTAGATTCGTTATCGGTGAAAGAGAAACGGCCGGTAAAGATGATCTTACTTCTAGCTGTGCTGTATGTCCCAACAAGCGTACCCGGGTTTACACTTGGCTGGGTCAGGATCATGTACCCCCAGATTTTTCAGTGGTTAGCCTCTGGTGCTTTCAACCTGTACACCATCAACAACCTGTGTACCATCTTGAGCAACATCCACGGTTCTGTCACAATTTTTGTGTACATCACTTTTAACCCAGGGTACCGTCAGTTTTTAGAAGCTTTTATCTAACCTTGCCTTCTCTGTCTTTTTTTTAAAGAATTAATAAAAATTTCCTAAATAAATTACTATTTACCGCGCTTTTATTCGTACATCATTTTTTTGTTTATTTTGTGCGCAATTGTTTTAATTAATGTATCTCTGTTGTATTCAAAAATAAAAAAAAATTATAGTTTTTTTTGTTTACTTTATACAAATATATAAACATTTTTTTTTGAAATGCAAAATAAATATCCTGATTATTTTTTTTTTTGTTATCCTAAAAAAAGCTTCAATATGCTAAATTAATATTTTTAATAATTAATATTAATTCCTATGTAAAGTACTGTTTACCGGTATTTTACTATTTATATCGTTATTTTTTGTTCATTTTGTGCGTAGTTATTTTAAGTAATGTAACGCTTTAATGCTTTTAACAGTTTATTTTATAATTTTTATATAATTATATTTACGTTTTTTTTTTAAATTTCAAAGTTAGTGTCCTGATTTTTTTTTAGCCTTAAAATCTTAACAAAACCTGCTCTTCAAAGTTTACTTGTAGTTCGTATGATAGCCTAAACATTGTTTTAAATTCTATTCCCACGTAATACAACTGTAATTCAAAGTAATTTTACTGTAATGTATTATCTGAAAGTAATTCAATGTATCTTTATTGTAATGTTTCTTTCAGAAGGTAATTCAATGTATCTTAACTGTAATGTCTCTATCAGAATGATAGTGTGCTTTTATTCACATGTTCTTTGTTCTCCTCTAATTAAACTTGTAGAACCGGACGATTTTTTCACCCACGTCATCAAACCCTTGGCCCTTTCAGGTCCTTATGATTCGAAAGTAAAATATCTAATTTGAAATCATTCATTACCAAATTTTTTTTACAATTTATTTTACAGTTTACAATGCATTTTATTGTAGGAAATAAAAATAAAGCGGCACTGATCTCCCCTAAACTTTCTCGAATATACTTATATAAGACTATGGGATGGCAACTCGGGATATAGACACGATTTTTAATCTTTTTTTTATTACTTTAACTTTTAAAAATAGAATAGAATATGTTAGAAAAAGAATTTAGCATCATGTGAACAGCAAACAATGTGTGTATAATAGTGCGGAATATTAGTACTTTATAAATTCAAATGCGTTTTTGAGTAATCGGAAATAGCGTATAGTACAACTCTAGGTAAACGGAAATTACTCATAATTTGTCACATACACACACGTGAACAGAATTGCAAAGCCCAGTTTTACACAATAACGCGTAAAACGCAGAAATTTGATAAATCTGGATTTAGAATTTTTGTCCCATTAAAATAAGTCCCCTAAACTCCGCATATGATGATGTACTGAGAAGTAAAACAGTGAAAACTCAATTTCATGTGATTTTTGTGCACGATTACAATGTTTCCTCTATACGAGAAAGTAAAACGGATTAAAAACATTTTAATAACAAGCTTTTATGTAATAATGCACTGTTAAATTTTATTTACGAAGAGACCTACGCTTTTCTATATTTTTAATTTAACTAGCAGTGTATTATTATATATTTAAAGAAAATAATTTATTCTCTCCTTTTTTAGTGCATTTTTACATAAAAATTAGTTATTTTGTTTTTACGCATTTCTTTTAATTACCGCATCAGCCTATTCTGCAATAAACTTCCCCAACTTCGAAATTAAGCTAAAAATGTAATGGAATGTTAGTGACAGCTGTTGTTTTGGCCAAGTATGAAAAATTGCTGTTAAATTGGAAACCCTTGTGTCAGAAAATTTTACAAACAAAATCAACTTCTTCTGTAAATTTAAATAGCTTTTCACGCATTGAAAGAAACATCAACAAAACCAATTGTTTTTTCTCCTTCTGAAAATGACTTTATTTTTAAAATATAAGTTTTTTCAGGATTTCCGTGTACTGATATTGATTTCTACTTCTAAAAAGAAATTATTTAACCTATTGTGCTCATAGTAACATGTGAACTCTACTTCGTCAATTTGTAAAGGTAAAAGGTCAATCTCTCATTTTAAAATCGCCAATTTAAAAACGAATGTAAATCAGACTTAATTTCTGAAAGGATTTTCAAAATAACAAACAAATCACAACGTGCAGAAAAAAGATTATAAAATAGCAAACAAATAGCAATGTAAAATGGAAAGCATGGAAAGATACAATCGCAGAGCACATAATTAGTTTACGTTTTTGTTTTAAATTATGTTTGTGCATAACATGTGAAAAAAGGGGAATATTTAGTCAACAAATGCTGAAATGTAAATAAATAAGATTACATTAATACAACACATTTATAAAAGTGAAACAAAATTTAAGTTGTGTGTGTGTGGAAGGGGGGGGGGTCAATCATAAATGACGTCATTCGGTGCATGAAAAGGGTAGAGAGGTGAGTTTGATTTTTTTGGATAGGCTTACTTACGGGATAGTTTATAACAGACATGCACATGTAAGCATAACATTTAAAGAAAATGATATTCTTCAAAAAGAGTGCACTAATCATGCTCAAAAGAGCGCATGACAAAAGAGCGCCGACATAAAAGATGATTGATATTATTTTCATTTTGTTTCATTTCATTCAGTTTATATTCTCACTTTCGGCCTAATATTTAAAATCTTTGTATGTGTTATTATGTTGCGTTTTGAATAATTCGACTTCACGTTGATTATACCAGCTTTTTAGTTAAAGAAAATGAACAATTCGTTTTTTAATGAAACAATAAAGAGTTGACTTCAAACGATGACGTCTGATCTGAGTTAATTTTCTTGTTCCTATTTATTAAATACGGTTTTTCGATCTTTAGTTTGCGCTCTTATGTCGGCGCTCTTTTGTAGGCAAATTAGTGCTCTCTTACGTCGGCGTTCTTATGTCGGCGCTCTTTTGTCGTTCTCTCTTTTGTCGGGGTGCCCTGTTAACTACTTAGAAGTGCCTGCAATTTCGCTCGGGCGTTGCGATCTAGACAGACAGACTAACGACTGACGACAGACAGAGATAGTGAGTTAAATAAAACCTTGTAAAAATACAAGAGAGCAGAGGCATGTAGAGATGTGATTTGTGAAAAAAAAAAGAAAGCGTAAAATGTGTGTCAACAATATTATAACCACCATCACAAATATTATAATCACCAGCACATTCTATAACCACCCTCACATATACTATAACCAACACGACACATACTATAACCACCATCACACATACTATAACCACCCTCACACATACTATAACCACCATCACACATACTATAACCACCATCACAGACACTATAAGCACACTCACACATATTATAACAACACTCAACAATATTATAAACACGCTCACGGTTACTATAACCACCCTCAACACTATTTTAATCACCATCAAACATACTGTAACCACCATCAGATATACTTTAACCACCATCATACATAAAATAACCAACATCACACACACTCAACAATATTATAAAAACGCTCACCGATACTATAACCACACTCAACACTATTATAGTCACCATCACACATACTATAACCACCCTCGTACATACTATAACTACCATAACACATACTATAACCACCATCACAAATACTATAATCATCCTAGCGAATATTATAACGCCCTCACACATATTATAACCACACTCAACAATACTATAACCACTCTAACACATACTATAATCAACTTCACACGTATAATAACCACCATCACACATACTATATCCACTATCACACATACTTTACCCGCCCTCTAAAATACTATAACCACACTCAACAATACTATAACTACCCTCACACATATTATAATCACCCTTACTAATGCATTAACCACAGTCACACATACTATAACCACCCTCACACATATTATAAACACCCTCACTAATACATTAACCACACTCACACATACTATAAACACAATCACACATAATATAACCACCCTTACATATATTATAACCACACTCACACATACAATAGCCACACTCACACATACTATACCACCCTCAATAATACATTAACCACCCTCACTAATACATTAACCACACTAACACATACTATAACCACACTGACACATACTATAATAATACTCACACATGCTATAACCACCCTCACTACTTCATTAACCACACTCACACATACTACAACCACCATCACAAATATTATAGCCACACTCACACATACTATAACCACAATCACACATTCTATAACCACCCTTACACATACTTATACCACACTTACACATACTATAACAATCCTAACAAATACATTAACCACAATTACAAATACTATAACCACAATCCGCATACTATAACTACCCTCACACATAGTGTTATCACCCTCATCAATACTTTATCTACTCTCACGCATACTAAAATTATATCCACCCTCATACATAATATAAGCAGCCTCACACATACTATACCTACACTCACACATACTATAAACACCATCACTAATAGATTAACTATACTCACTAATACGTTAACCACCTTCACTTATACATTTACCACACTCCTACATAATATAACCACACTCATTCATGCTATAACTACCCTCACTAATACATTAACCACACTTACTAATACATTCACCACACTAACACATACTTTAACTACACTCACACATACTATACTCACAATCACACATACTATAACCACCCTCAGTAATACATTAACCACACTAATTTATACATTAACCACACTCACACATAAAATAACCACCTTCACACATACTTTAACCCTTACTAATACATCAACAACAATCATTCATACATTAACCACACTCACACGTACTGTAACCATAATGACACATACTATAACAACCCTTACATATATTATAACCACACTCACACATACTATAACCACACTCACACATACTATAACCCACCCTCACTTATACAATAACCACCCTCATTAATACATTAACCACACTCACACATACTACAACCACCATCGTATTAACACCCTCAACAATACTTTATCTACTCTCACGCATACTAAATCCACCCTAACCTATACTACAATCACATTCACACATACTAT